ACATGTCGTCTACAACTTGCGCGCAGATCATCACAGGAATCACCATTTCGGAATATATTGCCAGGAAGGCAATCCCGGACTACGAGAGGATTACTTACACGCAAGGCGCCATACAGACACACCACGCCGACCACCACGCAGATCGCTACGCAGATCTTCAAGGTTATTCAACAAGGACACGAGGGCGACTGGACCTAGCATCACCCTAGAAGGGAAAGATCTTCGTAGGCACACAGACTAAAGGGCATGTAATAAAGTTCAAGAGGGGTACTCTTGTCCGAATTCATCACCGGACGGCTCTTCAGACTGAATCCAGGACGGGATTCACATAGATTGATATATCTACTTTAGAAGACTCATGGCCATTTAGAGATCTTCACTTCCGTACAAATCTGCAGATATTCTCACTGGCGTGGTTCAATAGCAGCCTTTCTAAGGCTAGGTAACTACATACTCGTCAACGATTCCCTGAGTAGAATTTCCAACAAAGTTCAGCATTAATTCTACAATTACGACGCTTCATTGAGATGGCTGTATGCAGTCTACAAGAGCAGCACTGACAATGTGACGATTTCAGCTGATCATCTGTATAAAGGGCGACGACATTATCTTCAGGACTGAAGTAACAGTCACAGCAGCCAGGAAAACAGCCTACCTACATCGGTATTACGCGGCGAAATATTTCGCGCGTTTACCATTCAACCCTCGATACACGTGGCCACTCGTGTAACTCCGGAAGGCTACGGACAAGACTGAGAGGTGATCAGATGTCAACGGCGGCACTAGATTCTACAAGGACCTTTTTTCCTGCTACACCGGTGACGTCACAGCGCGGCAAGCCAAAGGAATCAAAATGCTTTATTTTGATTGGACCACGAGAGACAACGCCCTGCGCAGAGGTCGGCCGTAGTTCACAGGTCAAGAAGTGGGTTACAAGTGACAACAACCTGTCAGCGAGAGAGGAAGGCCTCAATTACAGTCCAGTTAGCGGGACCCTCATTGATTTGGCTGTCTTCACGAGGTTAGAGACCTTCCCTGTCATCATTGCAGACGATTCATCAGACGAATTGCAGCAACATACGTTGTACAGGCTTTGGGTGACGGCAGCCACACGACTTTATATAGACTTCACACCGATGGCAGTCACGGAGCTGGACATCGCTTCATTTCCCCATACGGACATGGCAAGGGTTTCAAGATCGTGAGGATATAGATACAAGTCCTTGTATCTCAAGCACTACTCTCTCGTTATTACTACGGTGGCAGAGTCTGTTGGTTCTTCTCACGTCAGCACAAGACATGACACGCAGAGGGAGTCTACCACTACACCCACTACAGGTCTTCGTGAATGTACAACTCGACGATCCGGACCCCTTCGGACTCCCGGACAGATTAAATCCATATCTAATATGGTGGACTCAGAGATCGGAGGGTCGCAGTCGCACCTATTTAGCAGAGCCGGAGTATAAGACGCATCTCTATGTGGACGCATCTCTCCAAGATTGGGGAGCACACCTCGAAAACAATGTGTCAGCTGGGATATAGACCATAGCAGAGAAGATCTGCACTTCCACATGCTGGGAATGAAAGCAGTGATAAACGCCATACTCCACTGGACCAGCATTTTGAAGAATGTTCATCTGACAGTACATACAATCACCTCCTCAGTGGCGTTCTACATCCACAGAAGGATCAACATGGTCGGCGAACCTTCTGGACCTCTGCTTTCCACTGGCCAGCATAACAGTCAACCTGAATGTCCACATCAGAGCATGCCACATTCTAAGAGCCAAGAATGTGATAGCAGATGCACTATCCTGTCCAACGCAGGACAGACTGGATGCTACATCCAGAGATCTTCAAACAGATCATACGAGAGATGGGAGCACCTTTAATAGACCTCTTCGCCACAAGGGTCAACTGATAACATTCGTCTCGCCAATACTAGATCCACGGGCATGGGCAACGGACACGCTAAGCATCTCCTGGCAAGGACTAAACGCTTACGCGTTTCCACCACCAGCTCTAATACCAAGGGTGTTGCAGAAAATCAGACGAGACACCTACAACTACTTGAGGCGCGCCTTACTGGCCAGCGAGAATATGGTTCCCTATTGTCATACAAGACCTAGGACTGCCTCAACTGCAACTACCAGATTGGACGAATCTACTAGTACATCCTCACACAAAGCAGGCGCACGGCAACCCAGAGGTGTTCCGACTACACGTGTGGACTGTATCAAGGCATGCTTGAACAAGAGAGGATATTCCGCCAGGGCAGCGAAAGCAGTCACACTAGCTTTACGCAAGTCTACACGCAACTTGTACGACGACAAGTGGCGACACTTCGAGACATACGCTTCGAGGACCGGCTTCACAGCCATGAAAGTGACACATCCTCAAGTGGCGGACTACCTTTGTCACCTAGACAAACAAAGCGGTTAAAAGGGTCAACACTCTCAACATACCTAGCGGCATTGAGCTCAGTTATCGCCATGAGGACGAGTGCAACTGATGAAAGTACCAGAGTTACTGGCCTTACTACACCCTTTTAATTGGAGGACCAACAACAGAGATTTAAAGCTCCGGCGTGGGACCTCAACGTAGTTCTACAACATCTCACTAGTGACATCTACGAACCATTACAGAGAACATCATTCGAGTTCTAGACGCAGAAGACGCTGTTCTTGATAACTTTGGCAACAGCAGCAAGGATGTCGGAAATCCATGCTCTGGACTTCGAGAGAACATGATTTGATGGAAATCAAAACATCGTGCATATGGGACTGAGATAGGACTTCATAGCAAGAATCAACTGCCAGGTCATCCAGACAGACAGTTCCACGTCCCAACACTATCATCAGTCCTTGGACCACAGGATACGCAGGACCTATCCTTGTGCCCAGTGAGAGCATTGCAAGTCTACCTACAAGATCTAGGTCAAGGAGACGGAAATTCAAGTGTCTTTTCGTCCCGATATCGACAGCGACACAGACGGAGGTCTTCCGCACTAAGATATCAATCTGGATCAGAACTGTCATCCTACGGGCCTACAAAGCAGCAGAACTTGATCCTCCAAGAGCCTCCAACCCACATGAAGTTAGAGCTCTGGCGTCAACACTCGCTCTACATGGGAATTGCTCTTTCAGGACGATAATGGAGGACTGCTTCTGGAAATGGGACATGCTGTTTGACAACCACTACCTGAGGGACATCGTCACCGAGGACGTCTCTGGCATTCACCATTTCGGCCCACTTGTTGTAGCACTACAATTGACAGTCCCACAAAGGCGCTGAGACGGAGTCTCGCCCTTTTTATCACATGACTTGCAAAAGCCTACACTCAGGAGAGTTCAGCTTTAGAGTCTATATGCACGTCTAGGACAGACTAGCATAAGTGATATGACCCAGTACTTGTAAGGACATACTCGTACAGGAAAGGGTCGCTTCTCCACTTGGTGCTCGCATCAAGAGATGGAGTTGCAAAATCCACATAAAATGTTAACAGAAGCAAGGACCAAAAGTTAACAATTGTGGTCCCCCCATCAGAGAAAGCTGGAAGTGAAGGGTTACAGCAGCAGCAGAGCCTAGCTGTAAAAGAAGTGCTACCAGGAAGTTCCCATAGGGGGGTATGTAAGACGTAAATCACCAAATTGGAATCCAGAAGTGGCTTGACCCACCACCAAAACCCTCACATTCTACAAGCAATTAAGCATGAGTCAGGATAAGGAAAAATATGTAATTTTCTGAATAAAATTGATATTTTATACTTATCCTGACTCATGAGGTAAGCCCTCCCAACCTCCCCGCTAGACACTTTGGATTTCCCTGTAAATTCAAGTGTCGGGCTCATAATTCGGAGAGAGTGAAGCATGGGAGTCCGGTGGCGCCGCTTTCCCGCCAAAACGGCCAGACAGATAACTCTTGGTGAGTGGTGATTTTACGTCTCTTTTTTATTGAAGGGAGCTTCAATAGGAGATACAAGTGTTCCACTAAGTTCGCAAGAGGAAGGAGACAAGCAATTAAGCATGAGTCAGGATAAGTATAAAATATCAATTTTATTCAGAAAATTACATTTTAGTGTCCCCAGCCATGATATTGCTGGAATATTGCTAAAAGCGGCGTAAAACTTGATTCACTCACTCATTCCCTGCCTGCTGCCTAGGAGTAGGAGATAAAAAAAAGACTGGCTTGCTGAGAGTCAGCATTATGCAGTGCTCAGTTTAAGAGATGGTAACCTACATGCACCAGGTGCAACCTAAGATAAAAACCTAAATGCACCAGCCAAATTCTTGCTGCACTGCTTTTGTTGCAATAAGTAATGAAAGAAATATGGTATTGAATTATTCAAAGTTTAGAAGACAAATGAGCTAACACAACCATGTTTGTAATGTTAGATAATTCTCAAAAACTGACTTGCACCTGGTGCAAGTTAGACTAATAACTAGATTGCACTTTGCAATATTGGGTTGCACCAGTGCAAGTAACAAAGCACTAAATCGAGTCCTGAATATGTGTTTCTTATCCATGTTAGTCTGTGGCATGGTTTCTCAATTAGCCATCACTATAGCATCAGTATTTTTGAATATCATGATTTCAAATTGAATCATTAGTTTCCAAAACGATAAAACTTGCATGATTTTGTTTTGCTGTGTCTGCTTTAAACAACAAACAAACAAACACTACATATGTGCAGCGATCTTGAGCTCGGCTTCAATCCTGATTTCACTTCGCCTATTCTAAATGGATAAAGTGCAAGGTGTATATATCAGGATAACTGATGACATCAAATACGAAAAATTAAATTTGAATAACAGGAATTCTTACTGTACTTATGATAGATGATAGTGTTTTATTATTATGCCTACAAGACTCAGGATATACCATGACAAGATGGGTGTCTATTATGGATGACAGAGCAGCAACCTTGAGTTGAGTATTGACCTCAACCCTCACTCTGGTAAGTGACCCATCTTAATACTTTTTCTGTCTTAACACAGGTCATTCAAGAACAAGGTGGAGTTGACTATGACAATGGGGATGACAGTACAGCAGCCTTCACTGGTGACCCTGACCTTGGCACCTTGGTCTTGACCTATAAACACGCTGATGGTGCTCTCATGAGGTGGGAATGTTTTATATGTGAATGTTTGCTGGTCGTAAGGGGCAACTAATTGGATCAGGTAGTTGGTAGCGTGTTGTCGTAACTAGCCAGTGTACCGTTGCTAATATGTTTAGCTTCATCACAGTTTATGAGCTGTCAGATGCCGTTCCCCATAGACCCTCATGATCACGTTTTTGGAAAGACCATATTGACGGGATTGGTACTGAATTATGTATGCACATTGGTCCATTTATAACGATTATCTAGCTTAGCTCGGGAAACATGACATTAGAAATGTGCTCATTTGTATATTTGGAGTTTAGATTGTAATCTGTATGAATCTTTTTTCAAATCTATTTCAAATAGTGAAATAATGTTTCCACTCGTCCTGTAGACAGGGTGTTTCAGGCAAGCTAAAACATATAATGACACATAGAAACAACCAGAAATTATGCTATCCCTTGGATGCCTATTACAGTAAACTGACAAATGATCGCTTTGCTTAAAAATGGTGTTAGTAGCTACACCGAAACGTCGCTCATATTAATAATAAAGAAGTTGTATATCCATAGAACTCTCCTCGTTGTTTTTCGATATTGTCTTTACCTATTGTGTTAATGAAGACGGTGGAACACCAGTTTATTATTCGCCTGTGGAAGATACTGCAGTGTAATATTTTCACGGTAATATTATACTAGTGTAATACCACTAGACGTATGACGTCTTAATGGTTCACAGTTATGAAGTCACAATGCTAATACCTCTGTCACAATGGCATTAGGCCTTGCTTGACTCGCGGAAAGCTCAGTGTCATCACACTGTAAGCAGTTTCTATCAATTTATGTTGGAGAGTAATAAACAGAATACTGAACTCGCTTCCGTGAAATACAATCTTTATGAAACTCGTGAAAGATTTAGTATCAAACTCGCTCTCGATGGTTTGATACCAAATCGTTAACTCGTTTAATAAAAATGGTATTACACGGAAGGTCGTTTAGTATCCTCTGTGTTTGTTTGTTGTTTGCACGACTGAATATCATTTGTTTGTTCAAGTATACTACTCAACAAATGTTAAAGATGTTCCAGTGGGAACAATTTCATAACCTTCCATACCAGATGAACTATATCTTATGTAAAACTCATTTGAATTTCATTTGAATACTATTGGTTTGTAATGTGTCTGTATTCTTGTGTTTCCAGAATTTCAAACATCAAGTTATTGTGCAAGCAAAATACGGATGAACTGGTCTTTGATAATGAGGAGCCAACAGGTACTTATGTAAGTATACATCTTTGCCACAATAGTGTGGCTGATGATCTTTACTGTGATATTGTTCAGACCTTGTCATTGATGGAGGCATGTTTGGCCCAGTCATCTGAGTTAACTCTTTGTGCAGAGTTGCATCCCTCTATATGCATGATAAGGTATGCTGGAACATGTGATGTTATTTGCTTTGTTTCTCTCTCATGTTTGTATGCTGATATTCTATGTATCTAAATTACGTGTTCACAAGGTATATAGAGAATCTCACCCAAGTGTCTTCTGATATCAATTATATCAACATGAGTTGATAAAAGTACTTTTATCAACGAGTGTTGATATATTTGATATCAGAAGACACGAGGGTGAGATTCTATTTATCATCCAAAATCACTCTTCATTAATTTTCAATGAAAAATGTACATCTCTGAAGATGGTACTGCCATTAGACTTGCAGTGCAGCGATGTCATAGCATTGTGACGTCATCAAGTACATGACGTCATAGCATTGTCAGGGCATTGTACAAAATCTACTGTCAAAACGATATCTCCTAGGAGATATCGTTTGATCTCACACAAGCGATATCTCCTGTGGAACACAGTTTTGGATGATAAATGTTATTGATCTGAAACTAGACTACAATGTTTCTTGGAAAGTGAACGATATTTCAACCACTCTCCTAATGTAATGACAGGTGTAGTGTGAGCGACCAATTATGGTGTCCTCTGTCATCTTATTGCTGCCCATTTCTCCAGGGTTTAGTATTACAAAGGAAGAAACAAACATGGAATAAGGCAGATTTATTCGAGACAAGGTCTCTCGCCTACTTTTAAACCACTGGACCCTTGAAGATCCGGGTTAGAATTGGTATTCAGTAACCCATGCTTGTCATAAGAGGCGACTAGCGGAATCGGGTGGTCAGACTAGCTGACTTGGTTGACACATGTCATTGTATTGCAATTGCGTAGATCAATGCTCATGCTGTTGATCACTTGATTGTCTGGTCCAGACCCGATTGTTTGCAGACCACCGCCATATAGATGGAATACTGCTGAGTGCGGCGTTAAACAACAAACAAACCAACAGACCTAAAATACTGACAGACTAAATATTTTAACCTACGCATTATCAGATGTTTTCCATTCAGTTTCGAAGGAACAGATTGTAAAGTGTCTTTTGTGTCAATTTCAGCACTTTAGGTTGTACACGCAACACATGTGTATTGGAGGGCAGTCCGGGGGCCTCAGTACAGGATCTGTGCTTGTAATTATGTGAGTATTTCTGCAATATGGATTGGCCTGTGAATAGCTGACTATGTCCCTGACAAACCAGTGGTTGATCTCATGACCACCAGTTCATGCAACGTGGATACAATGACTCTCAACCAAGTCATGAGCCTGAACGGCTGATCATTTAGCTTCTTTGTGTAACATTTAGGAGCTCTTGAATCTAACATTGATGAATCAGATTTGAGAACCTTCAATATTATACCATTTAGATGTACACAGAGTACAGAATGGTTCAAAATGAAAGTTATTAACTTACTTACATAATATAAAAGTCAGTGACTCATCATTGTGTAGCTATTGTAATACTTCTAATGAAACTGTTTTGCACCTATTTTGGGACTGTTATTTGATAAATAGGTTGTGGAGGAAAATTGAAGAATGGCTGATATCTGATGCTGGAATAAGAATTAAACTTTACCACAAATTATACTCTTTGGATGAAAGGAAAAGAGAAATGATCCTTTGAACAGGTCAAAAATATATTTCTAGAACTTGCAGCCAATACTATTATGCCTCAAAATGTATTGCCTTCACAACGTGTTCATATGATAAATTTACAAAATTTTGGTCTTCTTTGCATACTTTGTTTGTCTGATATAATATAAGCCTTTGATAAAGCCAAAATCCAACATTTCTGATTGTAAGCAAAGATTGTACTTCAATATACATATATGTACACAGATGTGTAGACTCTAATGTTAGTATCATTACTCAAGTATACATATTCTTTGTTTTTGTACTTGAAGGTGCTAAAAGCATACAACTGTCAACCCTCTACTGATTATGTGTGACATGTCATCTGTACTTTGAATAAAAATCTGCAAATAACCCCCCCTAACCCCCCAAGAAACCCAAAACATTTAGAAGCTGGTATGATGAAGAAGAACAATTTTAAACTTTTTATGGATAGACAACTTCTTTATTACAATAGATGCAGATGTCATCATCTAAAGAAATTCTGTGTCCTTAAAGAAATGTTCCTCTGCTGATCATTTAGTCTCAGAACCATCATTATCTTGTATTGTGTACTGGCGTCATAGGCTGCTCTGAATCTGATTTAACACAGATTCCCCAAGTGTAGTCTTGCCATGGAAATAGGGGTCGTGGTGGGCGCGCTGTCTAAATCGCCATGGCTAGTAATCCAGTAAGCTTGAGGTGTCGGGATCGAGCCCACCTGTGACCGAGTGTAAAAACCTTGAAGTCAACTTTGTGTGCAGACTGTTTCAGTGCTGTCACAACCCCTAGTGTAGAGTACACAACCCTGTGCACTTGAAGAACCCATCATTCCTGGGTAAATGACCAGATGGTGGCCACATGAACACGTGCAAACACCCAGTTGCGGGTACAGCAACGTGCAGTAAACTTGGACAAAATACTGTGACTATGTGTCCCAGTCTACCCAGCTGTGAATGGGTACCTTGGAAAACCACATTAACTCAGATGGGGAGTTGAAATAATATGCCACAGATTAACTCAGGGAAAAACAAAGTGCCTAGCCTAGTGGCTTGCACAGAGTTGTAGTCCCTCTTAGCTAAGATAAGGTAGTTGAGATTGGCACTTAATAACTATGGAAGAGAGCTTCGAAAATGCCTTTGAGATTGACATTAAATGATGGTCTAGTGTACAGTTGGGTGTGGGATGTTGGTCTAGTGTAAAGTGCCTGGTGATGTTGGTCTAGTGTACAGTTGGTTACAGTGGTACCCTGGTGTGGTATGCTGGTCTGGGATGTTGGTCTAGTGTACAGTTGGTTACAGTGGTACCCTGGTGTGGTATGCTGCCCGTTTATCGAACCTCAGATATCCGGTTCATTAAAAGCAATTCTAGCGTGTAAAACTACTCACTTAACCGAAATCCGGTTTCCGTAACGGATGGTCATTTTCACATACCAATTGCTAAATCATATGCATTTTTCTCGTATATCTGGATGGCTGAGCACCTGTCAGTATGTTTACACAGCGCATTTTACCGAGTGGCCTTGCGTGCAGTGGCATTCTTTGAAGGTTGAGAGGATTAACTGCCCTTAATTAGCAAGGTGACACTGAGTTAATCTTGAGGCTAATTGATGCGATGTGGTAAATCCATTACAGCGACAGTTAAGTATGATTCCTGGTGTGGTCTTCAAAAGCGCGAAAATAAAACCTCTGGTCTTTACAGTATTTGTTATTTGTGTCAATGGTCTGAGGCTTATTATGTTCGTTTGTTTGTCTGTCTTTTCCATATGGTCCTCGGTTCAGATATCCGAAAAATTGTACAGTGGTATGGTATGTTACTAGTGTACAGTACACTGTGGTACCCTGGTGTATGCTGGTCTGGGATGTTGGTCTAGTGTTACTGGTATGGTACCCTGGTTACACTGGTATGTGGTGATGGGATTTAGTCTAGTGTACAGTTGGTTACAGTGGTACCCTGGTGTGGTATGCTGGTCTGGGATGTTGGTCTAGTGTACAGTTGGTTACACTGGTACCCTGGTGTGGTATGCTGGTCTGGGATGTTGGTCTAGTGTACAGTTGGTTACACTGGTACCCTGGTGTGGTATGCTGGTCTGGGATGTTGGTCTAGTGTACAGTTGGTTACACTGGTACCCTGGTATGGTATGCTGGTCTACAGTGGTACCCTGGATGTTGGTCTAGTGTACAGTTGGTTACACTGGTACCCTGGTGTGGTATGGTGGTATGGGATGTTGGTCTAGTGTACAGTTGGTGTGTACAGTGGTACCCTGGTGTAGTATGCTGGTCTGGGATGTTGGTCTAGTGTACAGTTGGTTACAGTGGTACCCTGGTGTGGTATGCTGGTCTGGGATGTTGGTCTAGTGTACAGTTGGTTACAGTGGTACCCTGGTATGGTATGCTGGTCTGGGATGTTGGTCTAGTGTACAGTTGGTTACTAGTGTACTGGTTACCCTGGTATGGTATGCTGGTCTGGGATGTTGGTCTAGTGTACAGTTGGTTACACTGGTACCCTGGTGTGGTATGCTGGTCTGGGATGTTGGTCTAGTGTACAGTTGGTTACACTGGTACCCTGGTGTGGTATGCTGGTCTGGGATGTTGGTCTAGTGTACGGTTGGTTACAGTGGTACCCTGGTATGGTATGCTGGTCTGGGATGTTGGTCTAGTGCACAGTTAGTTACACTGGTACCCTGGTATGGTATGCTGGTACGGATACAAATATACCAAACTAGCAATACAAATTTGAGTGCCAACATAAAATCAATAAAATAAACAACGTACAGAAAAAATAAATATGTTTTCTGCAAAAGTGAAGAATTGGAGGAATTCTGTTCACAGTCATATTATGTATGTCGCACTGATACTGCTACATGTGGTATTAAACAGCAAACAAAGAAACCTGTTCAGGTAACGTCATAGACTGTTGTCAGGCAACAAGCTCAAGGTCATTAAGATGATTATTTCTCCTTTGTTTTACAGATTCTTTGTGTTCCTGTTGGTGTATTTGATAGCAGGAATCTTGTTCCTGAAGTTTGTCCGAAAAGCTGAGGGAACAGAAATGGTTCCGAACTACGTCGAATTTTGGGCTGCCTTGCCTTCCTATATACGGGTAAGATTGAACCACATGGTAGTGGCACAACATCTAAACTGATATACTTCACTACAGTCCCCCAAACAGAATATTCAGTGAGTGAGTGAGTATTGCTTTGTGCTGCTTTTAACAATATTCCAGCAATATCACGGAGGGGGACACCTGAAATGAGCTTCACACACTGTGCTCATGTATGGAATCAAGCCCGGATCTTCAGCATGATGAACTAACACTTTAACAACTAGGCTACCCCACCATCCCCAGAATATTCAAGGGGCGGTGGGGTAGCCTAGTGGTTAAAGCGCACACCCGGGTTCGATTGCCCACATGGGTACAATGTGTGAAGCCCATTTCTGGTGTCCCCTGCTGTGATATTGCTGGAATATTGCTAAAAGCGGTTTAGAACCAAACTCACTGACTCCGAATATTCAAGAACAATGCATTTTCTTGTTGGTACCGTTCATGCAAAGTTTCAGCAGAAGAATTATTTTCCTGCCAGGGTGGCTTTGGCACTTAGTTTAGAATTTTGAATAAATCCCTGGAACTGCTGTTTGTGGTGGCATTCAACCCAATTCACCCATTCTTTTCTGCTCTATATTGCAGGAAGGAGTGTATTTCACATTCCGAGGATTCAAGACTGAAGCAACATATGAGAAGATTTGATTGGCACTCCACGTTTTTGTTTTTTGTGTGTGCAAGGAATTCATATTTCACCGTTCTATGTGGCGTTTAATTCATAAAATCAAAAACTCATGTGTGCAATCAGTGTTATTTATGCATATATCATTTTCTAAAAATATTCCAGAATGGCTTTTTATATTTATCAGGGATAAATGGAACTTTGTGTGATATAGCTCATTGAGAAGTATTTTTGTGTTCATGTGATGTTTTGAATAACTACATGCAGTGATTTCTTCAACATGACATTCTTCATCTGTTCCTTTTTGGCAGTCTGTGGAAGTAAGAGGTGTAATGTCATCCACAGAGAGTATCAAACTCAGGGATTAGGTGACCCACTTGTCTTGGAAACAGGTCATGCAGTTGTTGTGGGCACAGGGGATCCAGTTGTGGGCACAGGGGATCCAGTTGTGGGCACAGGGGATCCATACTTATGCTTCACTGAGTTATGTCCCCTTATCAAGCAAGAAACCTTTGTCTTTGGTTTGAATGGTTATGGTGCTGGTTTGTGAGCTCCTCACTTCAGTTAAATGTGTATGCTGCCTGCATCACTCAAATTCTAATAACAGAAGTTTTCCATGATCTCTTAGAGCAGTGGCCAGTCGGGTAGGGGAGGGGATATGGTGCACAGTGGTGTAGCATAGCAGTGGGAGGCATTTAATTTTAGATGCCACTCAAAGAAAATTCTAATAACAGAAGTTTTCTATGATCTCTTAGAGCAGTGGCCAGTCAGATAGGGGAGAGGATATGGTGCACAGTGGTGTGGTAAGCAGTGGGAGGCAGACTATATGGGTGCACAGTGTTGTAGCATAGCAGTGGGAGGCATTTAATTTTAGATGCCACTCAAAGAAAATTCTAATAACAGAAGTTTTCTATGATCTCTTTGAGCATTGACTCTGGGATAGATGAATAGGTACACAATCATGTGGCTTAGTAGGTAGAGATAGGGGTTGGGGTAGCCTAGTGGTTAAAGCGTTCACTCGTCACACTGAAGACCCATGTTAGATGCCCCACATAGGTACAATGTGTAAAGCCCATTTCTGGTGTACCCCGCCATGATATTGCAGGAATATTGCCAAAGCGACGTCAAACTAAACACGTTGACTAGAGGTAATGGAGGGGATATGAGTGCACAGTCATGTGACATTGCAGCTGGTGATACTCCACTGGGGGATATAGGTGTATGGGCAGTGTATGTGTGTGTTTGATGAGGAAGATTCTGAAACACTCAATAAACTGTTCTACTAGAATTGTCCCATTCATAATATATTTCCAACCTTCTTTTGTATAGGTTCGTCAGATTAGTTTATGTTGAATGATATATAGTATATATTGGATAGATCTGAAGTAGATGTTTCAGTGATGATATATTTCCAGCCTGCTTTTGGATGTTTTATCAGATTATATTGTTTTGAATTATGTGTCAGATGTAGATTTTCTTATATTAGATGTGAATCCATGTGTATTTAATTCCTGCCAAGGTCTGTGAACATATAAAAGGTCATGGTTGTCTGATTTGTAGATAAGGATCCACATGGCACCACTGCGTTTGCCCACAAGGAGATACTTAGTTTTGGCTCTTAGATCTGAAGTAGATGTGGATCCACATGTATTTAATTCATATAACTGTCTGCCCTTTAGGAGATACTACGTTTAGGCTATTAGATCTGAAGTAGATGTGGATCCACATGTATTTAATTCATGAAACTGTCTGCCCACAAGGAGATACTAAGTTTTAACTCTTAGTTCTGAAGTAGATGTGGATCTGAAGTAGATGTGGATCCACATGTATTTAATTCATGAAACTGTCTGCCCACAAGGAGATACTAAGTTTTAACTCTTAGTTCTGAAGTAGATGTGGATCCACATGTATTTAATTCATAAAACTGTCTGCCCTTTAGGAGATACTAAGTTTTGGCTATTAGATCTGAAGTAGATGTGGATCCACATGTGTTTAATTCATGAAACTCTCTTCCCACTAGAAGATGTTAATTTTTTACTCTTAGATCTGAAGAAGATGTGGGTCCACATGTGTTTAATCATGAAACTGTCTGCCCACTAGGAGATACTAAGTTTTGGCTATTAGATCTGAAGTGGATGTTTATCCTCATGTATACTGACCCAATCTGCAAAATGGCTATTGGCGTTTTCATCATGGCAGCATATTTTACAAGTGGTATTAAAGTAGATACGGATACTCTGTCCATGCAAGATTCGTTTCTGGAACATATCTTGAAAACTTTGTCTTCCCAAAGCAAATGTCCATGCCTTTGTTTAGTCCTTACTCTGACTGTCAGCCTGAACCAAAATGTTTACAAAGTGTGGACGATGAAATGTTTTGTAAATTAATGTGGACAATACTAGTGTACCTTGCTTGCATTAACAAAGTTATGCAATATAACCTGGACGTAGTAGGGATATTTTTTGTCAGGTATAGCTCACATGAATTTAAGCAATGACCACAAAATAACAGAACTGATAATATATAACATAATTAAGGGCTAAATTAGACACCACATGGGTACAATGTGTGAAGCCTATTTTGGTGTCCCTGCTGTGATGTTGCTGGAATATTGCTAAATGCGGCGTAAAACCCGTCTCTCACCTACTAAGTTCAGGGTCAAATTTCTTTACACAAGCTGATCCAATAGTTATGATTGTCCACAACTGTGTATGACAGCTGCTGATGCTGAGCATCTGTCATTTTAGGGACCTTGTCAGATAATCATATGATTACAAGCAAACCAGCTCATCCACACAGTAAACATTTTCAGTAGAGTAGCAGCAGCAGCAGCAGCAGCAGCAGCAGCTGAAGGATGTTTCTAACTGTGTAATAAAATCTGGAACACGTATAATTTCCTGTGGTGACCTGTCCTGCCCATTTCAAATATGGGTCTAATGTAGGATTTCCTGTTTTTGATTTCATGGAAGTTCTATCACATGCCATCAGATTAAGTTTAGTTGTGAAGATAACATCCATATCGTCCCACAGGGCATTATGGCTTTCAAGCTTACACTTTTGGTGTCTATCGTCTATCTAAAGTTCAGATGTGATACATATAAAATGATAGAAAGAACACCAAGTTTTGTTAAGAAGTGAATTAAGGCTATGCTTGTTTTGGTTGTTGTTTAATGCTGCTCAGTAATATTCCCGATATGATAATGGTCAGTAAATAATTGAGTCAGGAACAGACTCCAGTGATTGGCAGCAGGAGAATCAACATGGACATTTCCGATATGATAGCATGCATCAACCAAGTGCTTTGTACATCGTTATTACTTCATACTTCCATAAATGCAATAAAGTCTATTCTTAGTTAATTAATTACTATTGTTCAGTCTTACTTTCACTTAATTGTTTAGACCTTCCTGTTTGAGTGTTATCCTGAACCCAGTGGACACACACACACACACACACACACACACACACACACACACACACACACACACACACACACACACACACACACACACACACACACACACAATGAGAGATGTATTCTTGTAAATTGATAATTCTTCATGGATGTTTGAAGTGAGGCTCCTCAATCACTAGTATCATGTTCCAAGGAATCCCCAGTTTGTATAATGCATAACATGAAGGCTTTGTGTGTATTTATATGTATTGAGTTTGCTAATTATGATAAATTAATGGTGTTGCTTGTTTCTTTACAGAATGATGTATTGGTTGTTAGGATATTACTTTACACAACAATTTGCATATTAGATTACAGAAATAAAATTCCTATCTTTTATAACTAAACAAGTCCTTGTTGTTCTGAGTACCTGGTACCTTGCTGTCAGGTGTTGACTACACGTTTTATTATTACTGTGATTAATTAGATGAGATCTGAAGCGGACATGGATCCAGGTGTATTTATTCCATACCAAGTGTAGCTTTCAGAAAGAGGTTGAGTGGTTGAGCTGTTAGACATTTATGACCACAAATGCTGGTGTTTGGAAGTATGGGAAGGGAACTGTGTAAGTTGCCTTTCAGGTATATTTTTCAAAATGTGTATATGGGGAAACATATGGACCCCCCTGAGGCATCTGCAAGACTGTCCTGATTTGCTGGTACCCTTCATTTTGGTGATGATAGTCACTGTTCAAGAACCCAACATTGCTGCCTCTGACTGATTCATTGACAAATGTCAGTTTCTCATTTTGAACCCACAGCCCCTCAACCTCAATAAATACCTCCATAGGATATATGAGCAGATGCCAGTGATGTGATTGCTGCCTCTGACTGATTGCCAGTTCCTCAGCTGCAATAAGTACCTGCATAGGATATATGAGCAGATGTCAGTGATGTGCTTGCTGCTTCTGACTGATTGCCAGTTCCTCAGCTGCAATAAGTACCTGCAATAATGTGTCAGTGATGTGCTTGCTGCTTCTGACTGATTGACAGTTCCTCAACTGCAATAAGTACCTGCATAGGATATATGAGAAGATGTCAGTGATGTGCTTGCTGCCTCTGACTGATTGTCAGTTCCTCAATTGCAGTAAGTACCTACGTAGGATATATGAGCAGAAACCAGTGATGTGCTTGCTGCCTCTGACTGATTCCTCAACTGCAGTAAGTACCTACGTAGGATATATGAGCAGAAGCCAGTGATGTCCTTGCTGCCTCTGACTGATTGCCAGTTCCTCAGCTGCAATAAGTACCTGCATAGGATATATGAGCAGATGCCAGTGATGTGCTTGCTGCCTCTGACTGATTGCCAGTTCCTCAATTGCAGTAAGTACCTACGTAGGATATATGAGCAGAAGCCAGTGATGTGCTTGCTGCCTCTGACTGATTGCCAGTTCCTCAACTGCAGTAAGTACCTACATAGGATATATGAGCAGAACCCAGTAGGACTATTGTCAGTTCCTCAATTGCAGTAAGTACCTACATAGGATATATGAGCAGAAGCCAGTGATGTGCTTGCTGCCTCTGACTGATTGCCAGTTCCTCAACTGCAATAAGTACCTGCATAGGATATTTGAGCGAAATCAGTGATACCTCGTGAGCATATATGAGCCAGCCAGTGATGTCCTTGCTGCCTCTGACTGATTGCCAGTTCCTCAACTGCAGTAAGTACCTACATAGGATATATGAGCAGAAGCCAGTGATGTGCTTGCTGCTTCTGACTGATTGACAGTTCCTCAACTGCAATAAGTACCTGCATAGGATATATGAGCAGATGTCAGTGATGTGCTTGCTGCCTCTGACTGATTGTCAGTTCCTCAATTGCAGTAAGTACCTACGTAGGATATATGAGCAGAAGCCAGTGATGTGCCTTGCTGCCTCTGACTGATTGCCAGTTCCTCAACTGCAATAAGTACCTGCATAGGATATATGAGCAGATGCCAGTGATGTGCTTGCTGCCTCTGACTGATTGCCAGTTCAACTCAAAGTACTGCAATAAGTACCTACGCTTGCTGGATATTGTCAGTTCCTCAATTGCAGTAGCACCTACATAGAAGCCAGCCAGTGATGTTCTTGCTGCCTCTGACTGATTGCCAGTTCCTCAACTGCAGTAAGTACCTACATAGGATATATGAGCAGAAGCCAGTGATGTGCTTGCTGCCTCTGACTGATTGCCAGTTCCTCAACTGCAGTAAGTACCTACGTAGGATATATGAGCAGAACCCAGTGATGTCCTTGCTGCCTCTGACTGATTGCCAGTGATGCGCTTGCTGCCTCTGACTGATTGAGTGTTTTTCATTTTGAACCCACAGCTCCTCAGCTGCAATACATACATCCGTAGGATATAGGGAAAGTCTGAGCAGATGCCAATAATGAGTTTTCTGTTTGAAGCAGAGGGCACTGTGTTCAGCACTGCTCTACGGAAGAATGCCATCAAGCTCCGTTCATCTGCAAATCTGTTCTCTTTAAAAAGAACATGGCTGAACGCCCTTCGTGCTATATTCACATCTATGTTATCTTATCATAACATATATCTTATCCTATCTTGTCATATATTTTACCCAATCTTTGACATATATGTTATGCTATCTTGAAATATATTTTTACCCTAGCTTGACATATATTTTACCTATCTTTGACATATATCTTATCCTATCTTTACATATATCTTACCCTTTTTTGACATATATTTTACCCTATCTTTGACATATATCTTATCCAATCTTGACGTATCTTGACATATATCTTATCCTATCTTGACATATATCTTACTCTATCTTGACATATCTTACCCTATCTTGACATCTTATCCTATCTTGACATATCTTACCCTTGGTGGTGTGTGGTCCTGTGCGTAGAGCTCAGGTCACAATCAGTTGAAGTTAAGCAACCTTGGTCGCGGACAGTCCTCGGATGGGTGACCGTGTTTGGCAGCTTCAGTTTCTAGGACTTCAGTCCTGCCCCACAACGAAGCACATGTGACGCATGTGGTCTCAGCTTAGGCAAGTGAGTTTGTTCAAAATTGCCTCTGTCCACCCAGCAGTAAAATTGGGTACCTGGTATGATACGGTGGTAGTCTGAATTTGAACCTTGAGCGCCTGACAGGCGACCGGTTGTATTCTCCACATGGAGTGTTCTGTACTCGTTGACCAGGGGTAATATGTCAGTGCTTTGAGCATGCAATGTGCATGGATAAATGCGCAATATAAATGGACTATTATTATTATCTTGACATATTTCTCATCCTATCTTTACATATATCTTACCATATCTTGACATATATCTCATCCTATCTTTACATATATCTTACCATATCTTGACATATATCTCATCCTATCTTGACATTTATCTTATTATCCATGATTATTACGGTCTCAAGGCAAAGGCCCAATTATCGGCAATAATATATTTTACTTTTTATAGCAAACTAACTAGATAACGAGTGGCCCGATTCAGTTTAAACTTTATGTGTAATAAAACCAAAATTGTGTGGAACCAGATATCACAAAATTCGGAGGGCTCTAGGCTCAGTGAACAAGGGCAGATAATTTAGAAGTAATTGATTAAGAAAATGGCTCCTATTACCTTCGAAATCAATAGTCCAGTGACCCAAATTTGGCATGCTTCCTTGGCATCAGATGCCCACCACTTTCATAGCTGTTACATGTCGCTATGTGGTATCGCTTGGCATCCATTCTGGACTATACTTTTTGAACATAGAGTTTTCTCGGTAAAATCTTCTCACTAGGAAACTACAAGGATAGGCTTCAAAATGTCGCACCCGTTGCACACGTCCTACCACAAACTAGTGGGGCGATGGGGTAGCCTAGTGGTTAAAGCGTTCGCTCGTCACGTCGAGACCCGGAATCGAATCCACTCATTGACACAATGTTTGAAAACCCATTTCTGGTTTCCCCCGTCTTGATATTGCCGGTTTATTGCAAAAAGCGGCGTAAAACCATACTCACTCACTCACAAACAGCTACTCCAATTGAGATATGCCTCTTGCCGAAAGTGTTTGGTCAACAGGCAGTGACCAAACATTGTGCGAGCGCCAGTCCTTTTTTATTCATTCATATCCTTTTATCTCGTATAATGCATGGACATCGAAGGTTGTAATGGGCTGGAAATCATTCCAAACCGCTCTCCTGGCTAGAACTATTGTATTTCCCACACTCCAGTTGCCAGTTGTGTTTGTTTTGGAACTCCAGCAGCTAATATTGACGTCTAGTGTTCCTAAGGCTGCGAAATCAACCACACAATGTATTCCCATTCAGGCTAAAACTTTCTTCACCCTGTATCACTGGTGTGCCTGGTCCAGCCTCCATAGTTGTAATGCTACCTAGTATAAGGGGGCGGTGGGGTAGCCTAATGGTTAAAGTGTCCGATCGTTACGCCGAAGACCCGGGTTCGATTCCCCACATGGGTACAGTGTGTGAAGCCTAGGCCATTTCTGGTGTCCCCCGCCGTGTTATTGCTGGAATATTGCTAAAAGTGGCGTAAAGCCATACTCACTCACTCACCTAGCATAAGTGGGTGAGTGAGTCAGCCAGTGTTCTTCTACACCACTTTAAGTGAGTGAGTGAATTTAGATATACGCCACACTCACCAATATTCCAGCTATATGGGGGCGGTCTGTAAATAATCAACAGCATGAGCATCGATCTGCGCAATTGGGAACCGATGACATGTGTCAACCAAGTCAGCGAGAGTGACCACCCCATCCTGTTAGTCGCCTCTTACGACAAGCATGGGTTACCGAAGATCAATTCAAGCCCGGACCTTCATGGGTACACCGCTTTAAGAGAATCTGCGACATCCAGGCCGGGGATACTGGAAATAAGATTCAAACATCTTCCAATCTGGTGAATCGAACATGGTATAGTTTGGTTTGTTTTTTCACGCCGCACTCAGCAATATTCCAGCTATATGACCGTTTCTGGTGTCCCCCGCCGTGATATTGCTGGAATATTGCTAAAAGCGACGTAAAACCAAACTCACTCAGTCACTCCAGCTATATGATGGCAGTCTGTTAATAATCAATTGCTGATTGTGGGGTTTACTCTTTATACACAAACCGTCGATAAGAACCCTGAATTTGGTGTAATCACTGTTCTACCCCAGACACGTAGTGAACAAGTAGTTACATTGTCATGGACCCTCCAGGGCGTGAGATAAAAAACTGATTGAAATACTACGTCTTGCAATCGTCGTGTTATCAGTCCTGATGGCACGAACTCAAACATTGCTATCAGTGCTATAAACCATTGCTAGTGACAACTGCAGCCAGACAGGAAGTGTCTGTCAACTTTACTTGTCGTGCGTTTATGTGAGTGAGTTAGTTTAGTTACGCCGTTTTTAGCCATATTCCAGCAATATCACGGCGGGGGGAGACCAGAAAATGGGCTTCACACATTGTACCCATGTGGGGAATCGAACCCTGTTCTTCGGCGAACGCTTTAACCACTGGGCTACCACACCGTCCCTGTGTATGAAGAAGGTGACACGCAGACCAATATATTACTCGTGTCTCATGAGGTCCTGCTCTCGAGCCTCTTAAAGGGGTGTAAGAATTAAAAGATGAACCGAGAAGCTGGAAAAAGTAGAAAATTGAGGGAAATGTTGGCAGATGAATGTAATGGAATGCCAATTCTTGAGAGTAGGTTCATCATTGAGGGCGATTTGAACGTCGTGTACGTGTGTGTATGCCCGCACTAATGCCGGTTTACAGAACAAGCATGCCGAGTCACAATGCAACAGTTTAACGTTTTTCCCCATAGCCACCAGCTAAGATGAAACACAGGAATGAGGTAAAGTAAATATTTACAGTATGTATCCTGAGATGATGTAGGGTGAAGTCGGGTGTCAAGACAATTTCACTGTAGGATGTATATTAAAAATTCCATTTGTCAGCCATCAAAAAAAAAAAATATCCATCATGCTTAACTCACTGAATCCTTTGGGTATGGGGCAAACAACATTACCTGCGTGTATTATACATCATTAATAACAGCGTCTCCCGTTGGTCAATGACGTCATTACCCGTAGGCCCGGTTCAGTGATGTTTAGAGCATTTACTCTTCATACCCAAGTTCATTCTCTGAATAGTCCGCCTCTCTGACGACCATTCCTGGAGCCTAACGTGTGATCTGCCAGATGTATTGCTGAAGTCAATATTTGCTCTTTAAGTCACAGGTTTGGCTGCGTCATATCTGAGTTTGATTATTTGATATTTTTCAAACTCAATAATTATAAACTGCAACACTTTTATTCACCAAAATGCTTCATATAATCAGACCTTTTCAATAAAAGTGATAAAAGCTCCCATAATAGAATAGGTCGGTTTCGGCCGTCACAAACACATGCAAAGGCAAGGTGTTTACCTGAACAATCAAAGGAACATCTAGTGCCTTTTTAAATAGAGCATTGCAGCATTACTACTCGTACTGATACAGCAGCTTTAAACATATGATATCAATGATTCATCACCAAGCAACCCGTGAAGATCCGGGTTAGAATTGGCCTTCAGCAGCCCATGCTTGTCGTAAGAGGCGACGGGATCGGGTGGTCAGACTCGCTGACTTGGTTGACATATGGCATCGTGTCCCAATTGAGGAGATCGATGCTCATGATGTTGATGAATGGATTGTCTGGTCCAGACTAGATTATTTACAGACCGCTGCCATATAGCTGGAATATTGCTGAGTGCGGCGTAAAACTAAACTCACTCACTCATCACCTAGTAGTACAAGTTCAGTGCAATGTAAATCAATATTGCTGGGATTCCCAAAAATAAGGGGATACACAGTAACCAGAAGAAACACAGATCCAGGGCTTTGCTCACCCGCTGCCATGTGACGGGGGGAGCAGCAGGTTTGGCCGGAAGCTCCTGTAACTGCCCTAATTCCTCAGTTGGAGGGTTTTCACGACTTCTACACCGCCCGGCTGCATCTACCTTTTCAATCCAAATTGTGAGACGCTGTAATGTTTTACTAATGGGTCTTGAGTCACTTCGCCCACAGAACCGGACACTGAAGATGCTGACGATGACAAATACTGCAGACAGTGTAAGCGTGAGTCCAAGGAAGATGACGAAGGCTGATATACCGTGCGAGCTCTGTGGCACCATGTCTGTCAGGAAGCCCATGTAGACGCCATATGACAGAGGAATTGTTATGGCAAACGATATCTTTTCTCCTGAATCTGCAGGAATTAGAAACACAAACGTCCCCAGGACGGACAGAATTAACACAGGGAGGATGAAGTTGAAGACAAAATTTACAGGCCGTCTATCCAGGGTGAGGTTTATGATCACATGCGATATTGGCTTGTTGTCAAGAGTCTTTTCCCTTGATGTGATTGATGTTGGTTTCAGCTTCCACTGACCGCCAATGTTGGAACTGGAGGTTCCAGCTTCTGACTGCCTGGCTTTCAGCTCCACCTCTGAGGTTGAATATGACCAGACAACTACCTCAATGGAACACGAGAGGCTGTCAAATGGATACACCGTGACGTCCGTCTCACAGTGCAGGTAGAATAGGTCTCCTGGCATCCACTGAACGCGTCCATCCGAAAATAATTTCAGAGACACGAAATCTCCCCCGAGGCGGTCAAGCTGTTGGAAGGAGTTGGCCACAACAATATCCGGTTTCCAGACGTAGCTATCTGGAGGCCTGATGAACTCAAGTCCGTCATACATCTCCGTATTCCAGGTAAGAAACTGATCTATCCACGTCACGGTAAACCAGCCTGTGCATACGAGTTGTTGCTGAGATTCAATGTATCGGCTCACAGTATGTAGATGAAAGTCAAATTCAACTGTAATTGTTTCCGATTTGTTGTATATGGGCCTTTCATATGGGTTGTTATTCCAGATAATGTCATTGTAGAGGCGGGATTCACCAGTGGGATACCTGGCTGATTCAACAGAGACAAAACCAACAACCAGAATGTAGACGGAAAGGACCAGCATGGCTGCACAAACGTTCCTTGTAAAGTAGAACTCTGCGGCGCCTCTCGTCTCGGTGCAGGGTGTCTGTGTTGCAAGAATGATGACGTTGTCGAGCTGCAATACCGAAAAAAACCAACAACGTTTCTCTGAGATAATATAATAGTTGATATCGTTACATTTGTTTGCAGTTGGAGATTGCAGACAAAGTCTCACCCAGAGTTAATGGGGATTATGGTTAGAATTCAGCGATGCTTTATTCATTGACATAGTGTCATGTAATTAATACACAACATAGCCTCGTGCAATACATTCTGACACAAATTTTCGATTCACTGCATTTCATTGGGAATCCGGCAAATGTGTGTAATCAATTGCATTTGCACGCTTCCAGCTGTTAGCGACGGGAACTAATGGGGTGTTAACAACACAGCAATACTTTGATTAAATGTTAATACTTGTAATGGTTTGTGTGTACATCTATCAAGGATATCGCTTCCTGACGTACCACGTGACACGCATTCTCTATGGTATGTGTATCTGACTGTATAACATTAATTTGGTTAAACATATTGACTTAAATAACCCGTGAAAATCCGGTCTTCAGCAACCCATGCTTGTCCGTAAGAAGCGACTAACGGGATCGGTTGGTGACTTCGTTGATACCTGTCATCGTGTCCCAGTTGTACAGATCGATGTTCAATCTGTTGAACGCTGGATTGTCTGGTCCAGACTCAATTAGTTACAGACCGCCGTCATATAGCTTGACTACTGCTGAGTATGGCGTTAAACAACAAACCTTTAACTCACAACAACGAAACAGATATGAATACATCTTTCTAGAATATTGAGGACAGCGATTAAAGTCCTTTCATGCTGGGTTCCGGCTGGTCCATTAGTGGTAATTCACTGTGTGGACATCCTTCTAATAGGCGACATTGGTTCCAACCCCGATTGTCTGTGATTATGTTTCTAGGTTTATCAGCATCATGCCGTAGCTATTGGTTTTACCAAAGTGTTAAATGTGGGCTTTCACCCAACGTGAAGAACATTATCTGAAACTAATGTCACTGACGCAATATTTGAAACTATATTGATGTAACTGACGCAATATCTGAACCTAATGTCACTAACGCAATATCTGAAGCTAAATTAATGTCACTGACGCAATATCTGAAACTAATGTAACTGACACAATATCTGAAACTAATGTAACTGGCCATAATATCTGAAACTAATGTCACTGACACAATATCTGAAACTAAATTAATGTCACTGACGCAATATCTGAAACTAATGTAACTGGCATAACATCTGAAACTAATGTAACTGACACAATATCTGAAACAAAATTGATGTAACTGACGCAATATCTGAAACTATTGTAACTGACGCAATATCTGAAACTAATGTAACTGACGAAATATCTGAAACTAATGTGAGTGACGCAATATCTGAAACTAATGTAACTCACGCAATATCTGAAACTAATGTAACTGACGCAATATCTGAAACTATTGTAACTGACGAAATATCGGAAAGTAATGTCACTGACGCAATATCTGAAACTAATGTAACTGACGAATTATCTGAAAGTAATGTAAGTGACGCAACATCTGAAACTAATGTAAGTGACGCAATATCTGAAACTAATGTAACTGGCATAACATCTGAAACTAATGTAACTGACACAATATCTGAAACAAAATTGATGTAACTGACGCAATATCTGAAAATATCTAAAACTGTGTAACTGACGAATATCTGACGAACTATCTGAAACTAATGTAAGTGATGCAATATCTGAACTAATGTAACTGACGAATTATCTGAAACTAATGTAAGTGACGCAATATCTGAAACTAATGTAAGTGACGCAATATCTGAAACTATTGTACCTGACGAAATATCGGAAAGTATTGTAACTGACGCAATATCGGAAACTAATGTCACTGACGAAATATCGGAAAGTAATGTAACTGACACAATATCTGAAACTAAAGTAACTGACGCAATATCTGAAACTAAGGTAACTGACGCAATATCGGAAACTAATGTAACTGACACAATATCGGAAACTAAAGTAACTGACGAAATATCGGAAACAAAAGTAACTGACGCAATATCGGAAACTAATGTAACTGACACAATATCGGAAACTAAAGTAACTGACACAATATCCGAAACTAATGTAACTGACGTAATATCGGAAACTAATGTTACTGACACATTATCTGAAACTAATGTAACTGACGCAATATCGGAAACTAAAGTAACTGACGCAATATCGGAAATTAATGTAACTGACGTAATATTCGAAACTTGTTCAAAGCTGTGTCAAACCAAGTCACTGTAACCTAAATGTCACAAAACAGAGCAAAATGTTGTTTTTCTGCAATAACACTTTTTTTGCAAACTGATTTAAGAAGTCGGTTATTGATGGTTATTTGATAGGGTTGTCTTGTGATGAGAGACTTAACACTCTAATGTTCAATGTGAATCTCGATAACAACAACATGACGAAACTGCATGGGTCTCAGAAGATCAGCGTTTACTCTGCGTCACCTCTCAGTAACATACAAGAACAATATTCGTGATAAATGGAACGTATAGTTATGTACTCACCAATTTCCCGTAAATCACTTCACATCATTCCCATTATTGCTTGTATTTGACTAGATCCTCAACATCACCTCCTGCAATGGACAATGTCAAGTCATGGCAACAGGTGAACTGTTGCATTAATCTTCCTGGTATCACCACGCAGTGATTCACGTTTCCAGGATCATGTCACAGACTCTGTTTGCACCTAATAGCTTGGACTGATCAGGATAACATTTCGCAGTGAAGCAGCAATGGGCAATACAACATGAAACTAGCGGTTTCGTGTCTCATTGCTTCCGTCGTTCGTGGGCAATTTACGGGATCGAGAAAGAGCAAAGTAAACATTGGCACAGGCGCTCGGATCATCACAGCATCAATAACCGTCCATAACCGACCTCTTAAATCAGTTGTATTAACTGCAAAAACACGTTATCGCCATATCCACAGTGAAGCAGGGTGGACCATTAAATGCAACTGTGTGCAACATCTGTGACAACCCAAGAATAGTTGGGTCGAGATGGTCGCTGAAGTTGCTCCGTTATAGATAAACACAAGTGCACTTGCTACGCACGTGTACTAACCGAACACATAAAACTAACATAATTTTGCAATTTGTTGACAATAAAAAGAATGTGAAACGATAATGATATTCAACTCAACCAAATTAGAAACTTGACACCCACATTATCGGTAATAATTGTGATGGTGGCAATTTCTTTTAGTTTCTTATTGTTCCACACACACGTGAGTGAGTGAGTTTAGTTTTACGCCGCACTCAGCAATATTCCAGCTATATGGTGGCGGTCTGTAAATAATCGAGTCTGGACTAGACAATCCAGTGATCAACAGCATGAGCATCGATCTACGCAAGTGGGAACAGATGACATGTCAACCAAGTCAACGAGCCTGACCACCCGATCCGTAAGTGCCACACACACACCACAATGACAAGTGGGCTTTTTTATCATGGTGTAAAATGAACCTTCGTGTAAGATGCCATAAAACGTGAACATGCGTAATAGGTAACACTAACGTGCAACAAGTACCGTGAACTCCTCAGCGACCGCACGTACATTGGAATGCAAGTACACATTGGTCAAAAGGAAAACCCATAGAAATTGCAAGTTTAGTACAAAAGCTACTATGCCGCGAATCACATATCAGCAACGTGAAAGTGCCATGTTCATCCATGAAGTTTGCCCTTATCTGACACTTCAAAATGCCACTCAAACAAGAATTGTCAGTGTGAAGGTCGCTTTGGGGGCATGGGAGGTCGTGGATTATTTTTCCAATATACTGATGCCGTAATCCACCTTTCATCTTCTGGAACGTTACTGCATGACTGACTGACTGACTGACTGAGTTTAGTTTTACGCCGCTTTTAGCAATATTCCAGCAATATCACGGCAGGGGACACCACAAATGGGCTTAACACATTGTGCCCATGTGGGGATTCGAACCCGGGTCTTCGGCGTGACGAGCCAACGCTTTAACCACTAGGCTACCCCACCGCCCCCGTTACTGCATGATAACAGTATGATACACATCTTTTGTCATAACATTAACACACTACTTCTCTGTGGGATTTAATTGAACAAGTGTCAAGTTTGTAATGTGGTGCAGTAAATTTACACGTTTGACATTCAGCAACTGGCAGTAGTGAATGGTCAGTTAAAGATGCGATGACACCAAAGTGGTGATAGGCCAATGGGATAATAATACCTCATTCATCATGCATATCACAACTACATACTGAGTGAGTGAGTTATTCAGGGTTAAACTGGCAGTATTTTTCAGCCGTATCGTGGCAATGAAAGCTACATAGTAATAAACAAACCAAAACGATATAACTATCTGTCAACAAAGGACAGTAAAATACCTAGAATATCACTGATTGAGTTTAGTAAGTGCACAACCAGCAGGTTTCATAAAACGATATTTCTACACTACACGAGACATCATTATGACTGACTGACAGACTGTGTTTGGTTTTACGCCGCTTTTAGCAATATTCCAGCAACATCACGGCGGGGGACACCAGAAATGGGCTTCACACATTGTACTCATGTGGGGATTCGAACCCGGGTCTTCGGCGTGACGAGCCAACGCTTTAACCACTAGACTACACCAGCGCCCCACATCATTATGAAACGCAGCAGCGACTGAAGGTATATCACCAATACTAGTAAGGACCATGGGCAATTACAATAATTTTGTTACCTGCATGAAGCTTAGTTGGATTTACACCAGTCCTTCAGATGCTAGCGATAACAGGCAAATTTAGGACACAGGGCTTGGCACAAGCAAACTGAGCTGCTTAGGCAATCTACCATATTAGAAAAACATATACCACGAAATATATCTCTAAAAATGTTTTCAATCAATTCTATTTCTTACTCAGTAATAAACTTTATTTAAAAGATCATTCATACATGAAGCTTTAAAAACAGTTGTTACTGGTGATGGTAACACACTTTATTCCATATCTTCATCAGAGGGGAAGGTGGGATAGCCAAGTGGTTAAAGCATTTGCTCGTCACGCCTAAGACCCGAGTTCGATTCCCCACATGGGTACAATGTGTGAAGTTAATTTCTGGTGTCCACCGCTGTGATGTTGCTGTGATATTGCTAAAACTAAACTCACACACTCACTCATCAGAGCATTGGGGGTGGGGGTGGGGGTGGTGTGGGGGTGTTATGGTTAAAACGTTTGGTCGTTACTCCGAAGATATTGCTTGAATATTGCTAAAAGCGGTGTAAAACTAAACTCACTCACTGACTCATCAGAACATTTAATTTAAACTTTAGCGATAGCATTTGAGACGCCCTTATACATTTACTCTTGTGAAGTGGCATTGGGTGATAAATTGAATACACCAGTGCTTACACAATTCAATAACTATTATGTTACGTTCTTTAATCATAACCCACAATCTATCTAATTTTTACATCAGCAACCAGTGCCACTTTGGTCTTTCTTCTGCAATAGCTCCTAAATGTCTCGCCCAGCGGCGAGTGATGATGTCACGGTAGAAGTCAAATCTAAGACCGAAAAATAACATGTGGCAGCTAATTTGTTCTATAGTGAGTGAGGGTTTTAACTCCACCTTTATATGACCAATACCAATGTGTAAAAACATCAATATTTGCCACATTTTAGAATGAGCCACAGAAGCAATATTTGTTACAGTACCATGAGACAATTTGGCATTCATACATGTGTATTCATTGGAGAATTTAGTTCAAAGCTTTTGAATATCTTGCAAGTTCACACCTTTGTGAAACTGACCAGCACACTGTCATTTTAATGAACCTAAAAACATAATCATGAACAGGGGTCCAAAACCACGCCCACAGGTTTCAGGCAGGCATGCTTAAGGGACATTATTCTGCATGACATTTTGCTGCGCCCTAATGATCAGCCTCATTTGACTTTTTGTTCCACAGAACACTATGATGTCCTCAGTGATCTGACAAATTTCACATAAAAAACCAATTTCAAAGTGGAATCATCGGCAATACAGCGAGAACCGGCTCTGTATATGTGATGCTCTTTCGTCTGTACTTCGTCAGTCTACAAGAGGTGGGATATATTGAACAAGTTTAACCAGGGATAGGAGAAACAGGGACACTTCATCACAGTGCCCAATTAATATCATTGTACACTTTCCTGAAGAATTACATTTACTTAGGATCTCCATATGTTAAATTGGATTGAAATGTTTTTACCTGCGATACTTCAAAAGTGCGATGTATGATCATCGTGTTCCTGGACTGACATATTTGTCTTCGCCAAATCCTGGTCCTTCAATTATCTGTTGTTTTCACTGACAACTGTTCCTTCTATTATTTGTTGGCTTCTTATCTCCACACATGTGCTCTCAATGAAGAACAGCCCAAACCATTTCAAATGGTAGGAGCTGACTGTTCACGAACAAATTGTTGTGATCAATTCATATCGTATTTCTTTTGTGCCTGTTGTGCACGATGGAATCGCAGCTGAAGATGGGGGTGATGTTCTCTCGTGATAGACTTCATATCATGAAGATGCATACTCAAAGCACAAAAATACAAAAAACACTGTGGCTGATTCCTGCAAATTTGTATTCTTAAAAGAACGGTTCAAGGGTTGAGGCTGATAATAGAATATGAACATCGTCATACACCTTTGTTTTCCTTGAATAAATAGCTCGCTCACAGGAAATAACTGTGACATTGATATAAAATCACTGGAATAGCTGTTAAAACGTTTGCACGCCACTCTGAAAATGTTAAATACACACGACGACTCGATTAAAAGTACTTAAGCACATATAGCAATGAATAGCTGTCTAAATTAATTAGTGTAATGTATTCTTTCAAACACGACATACATGATCGAAGGATCTGTAGAGAAACGGTGTCACAATGGGAAAGCTGTGCACAGCAACAATACCGGAATGGCTATCAACAAAGGTACACACAACACCCAGAAGAAAAACAGATCCAGTGCCTTGCTCACTCGCTTCCAAGTTATTACTTGAGTATGCTCCTTAGTCTCGTCATCATCTGATTGTTCCATGACCTTAGCAACATGGCTTGTGTTCGTCTTCCTGTGTCGCCCACAGTGTTTAGCATGTTCAACCCAGATTGTGAATCTTTGGAATGATTTAGGAACGGGTCTTGAATTACTGCGTCCCGAGATTCTGACGCTGAAGATGCTCAGGATGACGAATAGTGCAGACATCGATAACGTGATTCCAAGGAATATAATAAAAGTGGACACTCCGTCGGAGCTCTGTGGTACCATGTTTGTCAGAAATCCCATGTAAACGCCATATGAAAGAGGAATAGTGATGGCAAAGGATATCTTTTCTCCTGAATCTGCTGGAATGAGGAACACAAACGTCCCTAAAAGGGACAGAATCATGACGGGAATCATGAAGTTGAAGACAAAGTTGGTTGGGAGTCTTTCCAAAACGAGAGTAATTATTGTACTAGACACATTTCTGTTGTCCAAACTTTTTTCCTTCGACTTGATAGATGTTGACGTCAAACTCCATTGCCCCCGTATTTTCGAACTAGATACTCCAGCAAGAGATTTAAGTGGTTTCAGGTAAACTTCTGTGACTGAGTGGGACCAGACAACCAGCTCCATTGTACACGTCAGGCTATCAAATGGGTACAGCTGAACGTCCACACTACACGGGAGGTAGAATAAGTCTCCTGGCATCCACTGCACGCGTCCATTAGAGAAAACTTTCAAAGACACGAAATCTCCCCCTAGGCGGTCCAGTTGTTGGAAGGAGTTGGCCACAACAATATCCGGTTTCCAGACGTAGCTATCTGGAGGCCTGATGAACTCAAGTCCGTCATACATCTCCGAATCCCAGGTAAGAAACTGATCTGTCCACGTCACGGTAAACCAGCCTGTGCATACGAGTTGTTGTTGAGATTCAATGTATCGGCTCACAGTACGTAGATGAAAATCAAATTGAACCGTAATATTTTTCGATTTGTTGTATATGGGTCTTTCGTATGGGTTGTTGTTCCAGATGATGTCATTGTAGAGGCGGAACTCACCTGTGGAGTTTCTGGGTTGTGTCTGGACAGGCACACAACCACAGACGAGAACAAACAAAATTGGTGAAAACATGGCTGTGAAGCATCAGTCCTATACTGTGTCGTTATCCTATTACTAGGCGTTGACAGCTTAATGTGTAGTTCAGTGGCTCAGTTCCTCTCTTCTGGATCTACCAAAGCAACAATGGTCTTCTTGCTTACCTGAAATAAATGCAGAAGCAAATGTCACTCATGCGTAAATTTGTAAATACTACAAAATCAATTTGTTGCTAAAATATATTTAAATTTACACAATTATTCTTAGCTTAATCAATAAAATAAATCAAAATGGCATACTGACTAAATGTTTACTTGTACAGATGAATTAGACATTGAAATGTTTTTTTTCTGAACAACCGGTCAATTGCAAAACAACATTTACCAGAGCCCTACTCCATAAAGCGATCTTAGCTCCAAACCGTCGCAACAAAAAACATTAACGCTTTCACAAGCCACCAGAGAACTAATCTCGCTTTGTGGAGAGTCATCACGCTCCCTAACAAACATTACCAGGACAGTTCCAGTAACTTGCTTGGTGAAATGCCCAGATCCTTTGTTAATTAATAGTCCCCGTGATGGTGTAATGTCCTGGTTTCACAACTATTGTTGCAGTAAGTGTATATTTTCGGTGTTAAAACGTCAAAGCACAATGTGAATCGACAAGAAACGTCCACCCTCCATAATATCACCTACAAATCTGTTATACACAGATCGATGACGGCGAAGCAATATGACCGTGTAGGCCTCCACTATTCCTGTTATGGCACGTCCAGGGCGAATAACATATGGCCTGTCACCTCCAACATTGATCTACACAAATGCCATCAGGACTAATGTATAATCACCACATGCAGGCAGTTGTCTGGAAATCCGTTGCATAATATCAATATGAATCGTTTTCGGTTGACGTGTCTCATAACAACGGGTGTATTTACTGCGATTTCCGTAGTGTTGATCACGTTAAATACTGTGTGACTGATCACCAGAAATTGTAATTAAACAAAATAGTTAAATTTCCTTTGGATGTGTTTATTTAAGCAAAACCTTGTTTTGTAACCGATCCCTGCTGTAACAGTTCCAATCACTCTGAGAATTACAGGTATCTGTAGAATTACAGGTACAGGTACAGTCGACCCGTATCTGATGTTGCGGTTACTTGTGAATCTAATTCCAATCAACCTGTTCTACGCACATCATGCGTAGGCAGTCAAAACTACAGCAGCCAATATTTCATTTGGATTTTCAATTTGTGTCGCAATATACCATCTACTCCTTCTGAAGACATTTACATTTCTCATTTTACATGTTTGAGAAGTCCATTGTATGGGTAGTGTCTTTTTAAAGTGCAACAAAACATTTGTATCAAGGCTTCACCATCATATGCCAGGTTAAGGCTTGAGTTCCAATTATCCGTCGTCATATTCTGAAGATGAGTGAGCAGCAGTCAAGCCTTAAGGTTAAGACAGTCGCCCAGTCCGCCAAAGACCTACATCCAGTGTGTGAGCCCTATCACTGCCGTCACCCATTACGGGGGTCAATCCAGATTCATCACCGCGTTGTTGTATGAGTATTCTTTCACGACAGTGTCTGGCCTCATCATCCATGAACTGAGGTCAAGCGAAATGCCTTGAGAGTACTGGTTACCCGTGATGTTGCCTAGTATGGTCATCAGGTGAGCATGCAATCGTGAAAGATACATCACTAAATCAAAGCGGGTCTTATATTGCTAGGTGTGTGGGTCGAATTTCAGTGGTTTAACGAAAGGGTTTTCTGCCTGGTTTTCTGGTGGTAATCTGTCATGAGGGACGTTTCATGAATCAAAACCTCAGCATTAGCTTATTACTCGTCAGCAAGTTGCAAAATACCATCCGAAATCAGGTGAGGTGAAATGAGGTTTAACGTCGCACTTAAGACCGCGTGCATGCGTGTGTATTTGTGGCTGCTTGTACTAGCCCAGACTAAAGCTGGTTTTATAGTGCTAGTTCACTGAGATACCATGCCGCAGTTACGCATGAATACCCCACTCAGACACATTATACTGACTACGAACTGACCAGTCCTTGTACCCATTAATGCCGAGTGCAAGACAGGGACCAACAAGTACCATATTTTAACGTCTTTTAGTATGACGAGACTGGGGATCGAACCCGCGACCTTCGCTCTCCGGCCGGCCGCTCTAACCGCTATACCACGGAGGCGGTCCAAAATCAGAGTTTGAAGAGCATCAATATCCCCTTCAACGGTAAACGGCTTGATATTGGATAAACTTCAATAATGAAAAGAAACTATTCCTCTCTCATTACGACACACTTTGATGACCAGTCTTGAAACTGGTAATCAGATGAACCGAAAGAATATTTTGACATTTACAAAAGCCTAGGGGAAAATTTATTTTCAGAGCACGTTTTTAACACTCAGAAAATCCATGCACTGACAAAGATCCAGGCATCTCATTAGCACTAACTAGAATATAACTTGAGTTTAAGTCATTAAACTCAGAACCAGATACAATGCTTCCTTTCCTGGCCTAAAGTCATTTGAAAACACTGACTGCCTTAAACTACTACTCTGAGTTAACGAATAATCATCAGAAAAATAGCAGCCAGGTGCAACTAATAAACTTTCTGCTCATGAAGATATGTTCGAAAGTCTCCTGGCACCCACTGCTTAAAAGTCCTTAGGCAAAACCAACTACCTAATACTATCAAAATCACCATCGACCTCCTAAGAAGTACGCATGTCAATCAGAGTTTCCTTTTCCTGTACAAATCCGTCGAAAGTAGTACCATCCTTTGTCTAAGAAATGGAAATTTTGTGCCTGCCTGTCTGAAGAGTGTGTCCATAAACCGTAGCCGTAACGGCTTGATAATCGGTAAGGTGAGGCAGAATGAACCGCCTGAGCTTATCGCCTAAACATGTTTTGGAAGAACATGATTCTCAAGCGATTTCAAATTGTTAGCCGATTTCAGATACTGCCTAATCTGCCCTGAAGGATCATACAATCTGTCACCTGTTGCTCTACTGAGAAAAAGGTTAGTTAGTAAATCAGTTGGTGCTAGTTTTAACTGAATTTTTTCTTTTGCATATTTACACATATAGGCCACAATATACCATCCACCATTCCCTGCTCAGTCAGGCTTTCTGATTTGATATCAAGTTCACATATGCAATGTGAGCAATGACTTCTTTGATTGGCATTCTAGAAGTTGGGTAGATGAAGGATGAGGACTATTTTTATGGATATACAACTTCTTTATTCTGTATACGTCGCCTATACAGAATCTGTATACGTCGCCTATACAGAATAAAGAAGTTGTATATCCATAAAAATAGTCCTCATCCTTCAATGTGAGCAATATCATTCCAAATGATTAATGATTCATAAGTATATGTACAATCTGTACAATACCTCCCCAGTGAGTCGCCATTCGAACTATGGATGGCCGGAGAGATTCTGATCATCATTATGACTGTCTAATAGTCACGATGCCTGGTTTCTCAGAAAAGGTGTTTACCCCGTACATGTTCTGTCCGAAAAAAGTAACTGTAATTTTTCAGATATCAGAAACTCTCTTTTCCTTTGAAATTCTCGAGCGTGGTGAACATTTTAAATGGCTGGGCTTGAGAATGAGTAAGGTTTTACGCCGTTTTTAATCTTCAAGAAATATCAAGTCGCAGATCACTAGTTCTGTGTTTCAGACATTGTACAGTTGCTGAGAAACAAACTCAGTCCTTCGGTGTGAAAGGGGAACACTTTAAACAATGGGCCACTCCATCGGCCCCATGCAGGAGTACCTCACACTTGAGAAATATTATTATCATCTGTTAGTAATCCTTTTACATTTTGAAATAGTAAAGTTTCAGTTTTTACGCACTTTGAGAAATTATCTGTTCTATGTCTTCCTGATAAAAATAAAGGAGAAGCTTAAAAAGGAAAATATCAATTTGAGCCTGTTATTTACCTATTGTTGATGATAACTTTCTATACAGTCCAATTCGCACGTGCACCTAACAGTGCCATAAACTCACGCACGGACAAACAAGGGGCGGTGTGTATAGGCTTTTACGACGTAGATTGTAATAAAAACGTAAATTGTAATAAACATTAACGTAAATTGTAATACGCAAATTGTAATAAAAATTGACGTAAATTGTATTTATTTATTTGCAGTAAAATGTAATAGATGCTTACGTAAATTGTAATATAAGTTTGAACCATACGCATTTGGTGGTCTTGAGGTCATTTTAAAGGTCACAGCGAAGATTGAACAGTTTTGCACATGGCAACCTTGGTAGCGGAGAACTCAAGAAAGAATAATTAGATTTTGATCCCAGTTGATAGGGAAACTTGTGCTAATTTTAAGTTCACAGCAACAATGTTATTGTTTTGGACATGTCTAACGTTTTAGTGCGAAAACACACGAAAGGTGTTTTGGGAGTATCGTCTAACCCCAGTCGAATTCAGTGACCTTCGGACATTTTTCAAGGTCACAGCGAAAATGATTGTGATATTTAAAAAAACTGATAGAATTTGTTCGCATTTGGTATCAAGCCATCCGATAACAGTTTCGGTGACCTTGAGATAAGTTTCAGGGTCACGCAGAGGACTATTGCGAGCTTCAGATATTGACAAATGGCGGGGGTAATTGCCATGTTTGTTACAAACAGTTTTTCATTATGGTTGTTCAAACTTCTGTTAGCAATTGGTGTCTATAATTTCATGTTAATTTGAAACCAATTATGAAATTATTTGTGGCACGTCTTAAAAATATCAGAGATTATTTGTGTCTGTTTTAAATATTGTTTAGAATTGTTTTTCATTATGGAGTTACTTTCAATGTTGACACAAGGACATATTTTACGAGAAATAGCTTCCAATAATTTAATGTTAATTCTGTTATATTTTAAAGTTCTTCATGGCATATAAAAAAATAACAACAGAATATTGTTTGTTTAGGGTTTGAAAAGTACAGTTATTCTTCTTCATTTTGGAGTAATTTTTAATGTTGACGCAAGTACAAGTTTATTTCATGCTTTGATCATATGTGATTTATTCTGATTTATGTTTCGATCCTATATTCATACATTACGTTGTCACAGTTGTGCCTTGTTCGCATTATTTTCTTCATCGTATTACTACTTTTATGAGAGGGAATTATATGTTACATTTTATAAGGATATGATGATTCGCTGGTGCCTGGTTATTCCGTGACACATGGCAATCAGTCTGTCTACTCATTTGTTGTATTTGATTGATGCACTTAAAATAACATGTAGAAATGCTATTGAATTGTATCATTTGTTTCAAGGAATCGACCATATGTGCTCGTTATCAAAGTAAAGTCAAACTTTCTATAAGGTATACAATGTAAGTTGACACTTTAAGTGTTGTAGGTATACAATGTAAGTTGACACTTTAAGTGTTGTAGGTATACGAAGGAAACTATTAGTGTCACCGGGCAAGATACAACAACCAAATGAACGGGTGACATTAACCTCAAAGAATGATAATATACTCTTCCCCCCCACCAAAAAATAATAAATAAATACCAAAAAAGAAGAAAAGCATAAGGCACGTTAGAGTGAGTGAGTGAGTGAGTTTAGTTTTACGCCGCACTCAGCAATATTCCAGCTATATGGCGGCGGTCTGTAAATAATCGAGTCTGGACCAGACAATCCAGTGATCAACAGCATGAGCATCGATCTGCACAATTGGGAACCGATGACATGTGTCAACCGAGTCAGCGAAACTGACCACCCGATCCCGTTAGTCGCCTCTTACGACAAGATAGTCGCCTTTTTATGGCAAGCACATGGGTTGCTGAAGACCTATTCTACCCCGGATCTTCACGGGTCAGGCACGTTAGAAGAATTTATTGCGTTAGTTTAATAACAACTGTTTCATGTACTTTCAATGGTACAAATGGTAAAATTGTACCATTTCTCCGACGGTAAACACGCTGTCTTCCATCTTGCTGGTGAAGAAGAAACCGTGAATAATCATTGAACCAAACTCGCCTTCAGTTTCTAAGGTTCAAGATCTATAACATCACCACAAGCTATTGCGGGGGGTGGAAGTCTCTCAAAACGGTTGCAACAACTGGCCTTCTTGGTCGAATCCCCTCTTCGAATTGATTCGGTCCTGGACTTGGGTGGAAACTCTTAGGCGGCCGCCTCTCGGGCGATCTTGGACGGATTGGTCTGCAGGAAACGATCCCAAAGGCGAGATATGGTGCTCTGGTGAACGTTGACATGTCGGGCAAGTGCAGACTGCGACTCCCCAGCTTCAAGGCGGCCTATGGCGATGTTTCGATTGGCGGCACTCAGCCGTGGCATGATGATTTCCTCTTTTCCAGGCAAAAGTAATTAACAAAATTAAACACAACGTTTGCCTTTTTATAGTGATCGATACCGCATGCTTTTCCGCTTACTTGCTAGTGCATTTTGCTTTGCATGTTTCCTTTGTGACGTTTTTGACGAATACTTCTTCAAGCGCTTCTAAAACAAGGGAAGAAGTTAAAATTGCCGCGTTTTGGCGCGGAAGTTGTTTATGATCACTGAAAAGATGAGGTTTTGAAAGAAATAGTATAATTTGTATTGTATTGTCCAATACTCTCAAAATCACATGTGCGGTTGTTTTTTTAAAGTGTAACAATGATTATCACTTAATACAGTAATAATTTCCCTGTATATCCATGTTTTATTGCTACCTCGATATTGGCGAAGTCGTTGGGTCCATATCCATAATAACCCATATCTTCCCTGCTCCGAGTGGGGAAGAAAACCGACATGTGACCCCTTAGTTTTGTGTGCGACGTCATGGAATGTAACACAATAAAATGACCTAATGTTTATTTGCGGCAACCTTTGATAAAAATGGCAGGTGATCGGACACTAGCGTCGCTTTCCAATAGATGAACTAGATGAATTAGTAGAGCAGGAGGAAATCCCTTTGGACGAATTTATTGAGACACGGAAATATGATGAAATGATAATAAACGAAAACACAAGAAGAAAAAGGGAAGATGATGTGAAGATGCTCAACCCTGGCTGCTATGGAGACTTTTGAATAAAATTTGGTCGAGTCGATTTTGAGAGCTTCCGTAAAATATTTTTGTAGACGTGCTTGGTTAGTATTAAGCGATAAAAATATTATGACCCTCCCTTTTCCATATGTTGTCACGTATCATGCATCGAATCATATATATTGTTGTATGTTATATATCCCCGCTTGCCCCCGCATTTAAGTATATTAGGTATACCCATTAGAACACCCACCCCACCCCCATACATGTATTTTAGGATGGTAGCTACACCCGTCAGAACCGAAACAAAACCCACCCCACCCTATATGTGTATACATATCAAAACCTCAAGTGACATTTGACCAAAGAAACATCAGCTACACAAGTTTGGATTTTCCCCAATATAGCTAAGAGCACCCTTGATACGATATTATTACATCGCATAGACAATCTTTATATTGGCAAAACTGTGACCTTGCACAATTATCTCAAAGTAGCTAAATTCAACTGGTGTTGGTGAATATCGCCAATACACCTTGGTACCATTATTTCTTTTTTGAGTTGTCGCTCTAACAAGCTTATATGATGTATGATATGCAACGAAAAATAAACACACGCGTATGTACGAATGATTAAAACTTATTACAATTTACCGAAATATCTCTTACATTTTATCGCAACTAAAATAATTACAAGTTACGTCAATTCTTATTACAATTTACGTCAATTTTATTTACAAGTTACGTCAATTTTTATTACGTTTTATTACAATTTACCTCGTACATAGGCAATGTCCATTTTTGTTCCACCAGTCTCGCATAATCGAAGAACGCCGCCCTCAGCAATATTCCAGCAATATTCCAGCATTCTGCTTATAATCGAGTCTGGACCAGATAATCAAGTGATCAACAGCATGAGCATCGATGACAGGTGTGAACGAAATCGGCGAGCCTGATCACCCGATCAGGCTAGTCGCCCCTTAAGACAAGCATGGGTTGCTAAAGACCAACGTTATTATCGGGTTTGTTTGGGAGGGGCGTGGGTGAAAGCACATAATGGCATGGGTTGGTCGCATAATAATAGGCCGATCTACGCTAATCACATTCTCCGTCAAATTCACACACTATCTGGACAAATAATTGCATGTGCACCACTCGGTGAACAACGTTTTCATGTTGATGTACTTGCTCATCGTGCCCCAATTCCTCCAGCAGCAAAGTGCCTACGTCATGCCATTGTCAGCACTCAGCCTTGTCTTCGGAGGAACGTGAGCTGCAGCTAACGGTGCAACTGGGTACGATATCTGTGGTGATATCGCAACATGTACACAATGTTTGTTACGTTTTGTGCAACACTTTTCAAAATACTTACATCTATACCCCCGAACCCATGTGTGTATTTACTATATTACGTCAATTTACGTATTGAGGATTTCAACCATCGCCGGTATTTTTGGAACAGTATATTGCAACGTTTTGTCAAATTTGACAAGGTAAAAGTGGAATCATCGGCAATACGGCGAGAACCAGATCTGTATATGTGATGCTCTTTCGTCTGTACTTCCTCATTCTACACGAGGTGGGATATATTATACAGGTTTAACCAGGGATGGGAGAAACAGGGACACATCATCACAGTGCCCCAATTAATATCATTGTACACTTTCCTGAAGACTCCCATGTACTTAGGATCTCCATATGTTAAATTGGATTGAAATGTTTTTACCTGCAATGCTCCAAAAGTGCGATGTATGATCACTCTGTTCCTGGACTGACATTTTTGTCTTCACCAACAACTGGTCCTTCTATTATCGGGTCTTCGCCGACAACTGTTCTTTCTATTATCTGCTGGCCTCTTATCCCCCCACAAGTGCTCTCATTGAAGAACAGTCCAAACCATTTCAAATAGGAGCTGACTGTTCACGAACAAATTGTTGTGATCAATTCATATCGTATTTCTTTGTGTGTGCCTTTTGTGTACGATGGCATCGCGGCTGAGGATGGGGGTGATTTTCTCTCGTGATAGACTTCATATCATGAAGATTCATGCTCAAAGCACAAAAATACAAAAAATACTGAGGTTGATTCAAACAAAATTGTACTCCACAGAGATAGGTTCCAGGGTTTAGGCCTCTCATAAATAGCTCTCTCAAAGGAAACATCTGTGACACAGATATAAGACCACTGGAATAACTGTTAAAACGTTTGCACGCCACTCTGAAAATGTTAAATACACATTGCGACTCTGTTAAAAGTATTTAAACACACATTGCAATGAATAGCTGTCTCAAATAATCAGTGTTATCTATTCTTCAAACATGACATACATGATCGAAGGATCGGTAGAGAAAAGGTGTCACAATGGGAAAGCTGTGCACAGCAACATTACCGGAATGGCTATCAACAAAGGTACACACAACACCCAGAAGAAAAACAGATCCAGTGCCTTGCTCACTCGCTTCCAAGTTATTACTTGAGTATGTTCCTTAGTCTCGTCATCATCTGATTGTTCCGTGACCTTAGCAACATGGCTTGTTTTCGTCTTCCTGTGTCGCCCACAGTGTTTAGCATGTTCAACCCAGATGGTGAATCTTTGGAATGGTTTAGGAACGGGTCTTGAATTACTGCGTCCCGAGATTCTGACGCTGAAGATGCTCAGGATAACGAATAGTGCAGACAGCGATAACGTGATTCCAAGGAATATAATAAAAGTGGACACTCCGTCGGAGCTCTGTGGTACCATGTTTGTCAGAAATCCCATGTAAACGCCATATGAAAGAGGAATAGTGATGGCAAAGGATATCTTTTCTCCTGAATCTGCTGGAATGAGGAACACAAACGTCCCTAAAAGGGACAGAATCATGACGGGAATCATGAAGTTGAAGACAAAGTTGGTTGGGAGTCTTTCCAAAACGAGAGTAATTATTATACTAGACACATTTCTGTTGTCCAAACTTTTTTCCTTCGACTTGATAGATGTTGACGTCAAACTCCATTGCCCCCGTATTTTCGAACTAGATACTCCAGCAAGAGATTTAAGTGGCTTCAGGTAAACTTCTGTGACTGAGTGGGACCAGACAACCAGCTCCATTGTACACGTCAGGCTATCAAATGGGTACAGCTGAACGTCCACACTACACGGGAGGTAGAATAAGTCTCCTGGCATCCACTGCACGCGTCCATTAGAGAAAACTTTCAAAGACACGAAATCTCCCCCTAGGCGGTCCAGTTGTTGGAAGGAGTTGGCCACAACAATATCCGGTTTCCAGACGTAGCTATCTGGAGGCCTGATGAACTCAAGTCCATCATACATCTCCGAATCCCAGGTAAGAAACTGATCCTTCCACGTCACGGTAAACCAGCCTGTGCATACGAGTTGTTGTTGAGATTCAATGTATCGGCTCACAGTACGTAGATGAAAGTCAAATTGAACCGGAACATTTCTCGATTTGTTGTATATGGGCCTTTCGTATGGGTTGTTGTTCCAGATAATGTCATTGTAGAGACGGAACTCACCTGTGGAGTTTCTGGGTTGTGCCTGTACAGACACATAACCGCAGACAAAAACAAACATCATTGGTGACAACATGGCTGTGAAGCATCAGTCGTATACTGAGTCGTTATCCTCTTACTAAGCGTTGACAGCTTAATGTGTAGTTCAGTGGCTCAGTTCCTCTCTTCTGGATCTACCAAAGCGACAATGGTCTTCTTGCTTACCTGAAATAAATACAGAGTGAGTGAGTGAGTGAGTGAGTGAGTGAGTGAGTGAGTGAGTGAGTGAGTGAGTGAGTGAGTGAGTGAGTGAGTGAGTGAGTGAGTGAGTGAGTGAGTGAGTGAGTGAGTGAGTGAGTTAAAATTTATCGTCACATCGGCAATATTTCAGCCATATCGTGACGAGAACAATTGATTTTATACATAGTAAATAATGGTAAATTGTAAAAACCTGTCAACGAAGGACAGTAAAATAACTAGATTATCACAGATTCGAATTTAAAACTAGTAATTAAATCTAAAACAGTTTAACTATAGATGACAGTACAAGGTAAAAACAGGCCATATATTGCCAACAATTGAAGGTAGATCACCATACTAGGGACCATGGGGACTTACAGTACAAATCAATACAGAAGCGAAGGTCATTTGTGCGTAAAATTGTAAATGCTACAAAATCGTTAATTTGTTGTTAAAATATATTTAAATTTACATAATTATTGTTATATTATCAATAAAAGGAATCCAAAAGGCATACTGACAAAATGAATTTCCGGATGAATTTCACATTGAAATAGCTTTTTTTATGAGAAAATGGAGAATATTACAAAACAACATTTCCAGAGCCCTACTCCGTAAAGCGACCTTAGCATCAAGTCGTAACAAATAAACATTAATGCTTCCAAAAGCCTTCCAGGGAACTAATCTAGGTTTGTTGGGAGTCATCACGCTTCCTAGCACACATTACCAGGACAGTTCCAGTAACTTGCTTGGTGAAACGCCCAGAACTTTGTTAATCCGTAGTCCCCGTGATGGTGTAATGTCCTGGTTTCACAATTACACTTGCAGTAAGCTCATATTTGCTCTGTTAAAACGTCAAAACACACTGAATCGTCGAAAAATATCCACCCACCATAATACCAAATCTGTTATACACAGATCGATGACGGCGAACCGATATGGACGTGTCGGCCTCCACTATTCCCGGTATAGCACGTCCAGGGCGAATAACATAACAAACGGCTTTGGGGACCTGTCACCTCCAACACTGATCTACACAGATGCCATCAGGACTAATGTATAACCACCACATGCAGACAGCTGTCTGGAAATCCGTTGCACAATACCAATGTGATTACGAGTGGTGTGTCTCACAACATCGGATGTGAATATAGTGATTTCCATGGCAAGTGTTGATCACGTTAAATACTGTGTGACTGATCACTAGAAATTGTAATCAAATAGAATAATTCAATTTCCGTTAGATGTATTTATTTAAGCAAAACGTTGTTTTGTAACCGATCCCTGCTGTTCCAATCAATGAAACCAATCCAATAATTACAGGTATGGATAAGTCGACTTGTATCTGATGTTGTGAATCTAATTCCAATTAATTTGTTCTATGGACATCATGTGTAGGCAGTCAAAACTATAGCATCCAATATTTTATTTGGATTTTCACCTTGTGTAGAAATATACATCAACTCCTGAAGACATTTACATTTCTCATTTTACATGTTTAAGAAGTACATTGTATGTGCATTTTTTCAATTTCTGACAGACACTTTTTAATGCGCAACTATACATTTGAATCAAGGTTTCACCATTATGTGCCTGGTTAAGGCTTGAGTTCCAGTTACCCGTCGTCATATTCTAAAGATGAGAGAGCAGTATTTTATCCCTCAGGTTAAAACTGTCGCCCACTCCGCCGACGACCTGTTTTACGAGTGCCTACATCTAGTGTGTGAGGCCTATCACTGCCGTCGCCCATTACGGGGGTCATGGTGGACTTATCGTTATTCTGGAGGCAGTCTCATACTGCAGAGAAACGACAGTGTCTGGCTTTATCATCCATGGACTGTGGTCAAATGGAGTGCTGGACATCAGCTGGTTCTATACCATCTTGGGAGTACTGATTACCCGTGATGTTGCCTGGTATGGTCATCAGGTAAAGCATGCAATCGTGAAAGATACATCACTAAATCAATACTGAAACTGCCTCCTAAGTGACAATTGGCCTTATATTGCTTGATGTAGGGGTCGACTTTCAGTTGACAAACGAAAGGGGTTTCGGCCCAGGTTCTCTGATAGTAATCTGTCAGGAGGGACATTTCATGAATCAAAACCTTAGGGTTAGCTGAAAACCACCAACAAACAGCAAAATACCATCCAAAATCAGAGATTGAAGAGTACCAATATCCTCTAAAAAGGTAATTGGCTTAATATCCGATAAACTTCAGTAATGAAAGGAAAGTACTCCTCTCTCATTACGACACACTTTGATGACCAAAACAAAAACCCAGAACCCCTATTCTCGTTAGGTTCCCAAACAACGCTAACATCAGATCCCCGCCGTTGCACTCAAAATAGGCCGAAAACGAGCCCAAATGAGTGCCAAACATGCGGCTTTTTGCGCTTACCACTTCCGCACACAACCTCCCAACACGCCCAAACGAAAACCGCAACCAAATCTACCCAAAGGGTCGAAATAAACCTAACCCTAGCTCCGACGCGTAACGCTAGCTCTAACCCTAGGCCACCCCGTGGCGGTGTCGAAATACCCCAAGACGAGCCCAAATAAGTGTCAAACATGCGTTTTTTTGCGCTTCCCACATCCGCACGCAACCTCCGTACACGCACAAATGCCAAACGCACCCCTCCCAACACACCTTCCCTTCCCCGTCATACGAAGCGCCGTGGACTTAGCCAAAACAACGCTAACATCAGATCCCCGCCGATGCACTCTAAATAGGCCGAAAACGAGACCAAATAAGCGCCAAACATGCGTTTTTATGCGCTTACCACCTCCGCACACAATCTCCCAACACGCTCAAAAGAAAACCGCACCCAAATCTACCCAAAGGGTCGAAATAAACCTAACGTTAGCCGCCCCCGTAACCCTAGCTCTCACACTAAGCCACCCCGTAGCGGGTCGAAAAACCCAAAAATGAGCCCAAATAAGTGCCAAACATGCGGTTTTTTGCGCTTCCCACATCTGCACGCAGTCTCCGCACACGCACAAACGCCAAACGCACCCCTCCCCATACGCCTTCCCTCCCCCGTCATACTAAGCGCCGTGGACAGGCAAAACAACGCTAACATCAGATCCCCGCCGATGGACTCAAAATAGGCCCAAAACGTGCCAAATTAAGTGCCAAGCAGACGGGTTTTTGCGCTTCCCACATCCACCCAGCACCCCCGCACATGCCCAAAGGCCAAAACCGCACCCAAATCGACCAAAAGGGTCCGAAATGACCTAACCCTAGCTATAATCCTAACACTCACCGTTTCCTCAACTTGTATAGGCTAGGGTTAGGGTTAGGCTAAAACGGGCCCAAATAAGTGCCAAACATGAGGGCTTTTGCACTTACCACTTCCGCACACAACCTCCCAACACGTCCAGTCAAGAATTTTATTGTATTCAAGGCCTCCGGCCCATATACAGTTTACAGAGTTGTACATAAGTATTTTTACAAGTAAGTTGTAACTAATGTTTCAACAATTCATCTCTTAACTTACTGGAGTGTTTTATAAACAATGACAGATTTCTAATATTTTGTTCATTGCAAGAACATAATAGTGATTTAAAAGCTACATCGGGGGTTTTGACAGGTAATACTCCGGTATATATTTCTTTCTAATGTCAGCATAAAATTTACAGATAAAGGTGAAGTGAATTTCGTTTTCTACTGCTTCTTTGCATAATGGACAGATTCTTTGATTCCTCTCGATGGACATTTTTCTTCCTTCATTTACCATTAAATTTAGCAAACCTAGTCTGAATTTTATAAACGTATACCTTAAATCGTTGCATCTAAGTACAGATAAATATTTTTCTGGTTGTAGTAAAGTTTTAAATGTCCTATAACAATCATAGCGTGTGCTATTATTCAAACGTGATTGCCATTCCTGGTGATACATATTAATAGCTCGATTGCGAAAATCATTAATAAAAACATCGATATGACCAACAGTTTGGTTTAACCAGACATACCCATAACCATGAGAAAATAATAAATATCTTAAACTTGATGCCCACGTTACTTTGCCAATACTATCTAAATGAACCAACATATTATAGGACAGTTTTGGAATACGATGGTTAGGCATGTTAAGAATTTTAAGCCAGTATTTTAAACATCTTATCTGTGAATTTATGTAAAGTGGGTATCTCCCGCACTCCCCATACACCATAATATTTGGTGTTGACGATCCAACTCCCAAAAATCTTTTACATGCTAATAAATGTATTTTTTCTAAACAATCGAAACGTTGAAATCCCCATATTTCTGAACCATATAATAAAATTGGTTGTATTTGGGCATCAAAAAAGTTTGAAAAATAGACCTGGTGTTAACATTCCAGTCTTGTAAATAACCGGTATTAACTGGAAAAGAGCTTTCTTAGCACGCCGGGAGAGATCATAAACACTTTTGTTCATATTGAAGGTATGATAAAAACGAACACCGAGGTACGTGTAACAATCAACTGTTTTCACAAGTTGATTACCAAGGAACCATTTATCTTTTTGAGAATTGTGACTACCCTTCCGAAAAATAACTACATTGGTTTTGTCAAGATTTACTGAGAGCTTCCATTCCTTAGTGTAATTATCTAGAATGTTAAGTTGTCGTTGTAATCCCACTACCGTATCTGATAGTAAAATCACATCATCTGCGAAGAGAAGCATTAAAATTTCCAAATAATCTGGAAACAGTTGAATACCATGTTTTCCATAAGAAACAATATCATTATATAATTCACTGATAAAAAATGAAAATAGGATGGGACTGAGGATGCAACCTTGTCGCAAACCTATAGGACAATCAAAATAGTCTGTTGTACCCGTCTCACAACGGACACAGGACTTTATGTTTGAGTACATTTCCTTCAGCATGGAATACATTTTGCCCCTGAGACCAGTATCTCTTAAGCAGTTCCAGAGTTTGAACCTATCAACTGTATCAAATGCTTTTTTTTGAAGTCTACAAATGCAGCATATAATTTATGTTTACTACGTGATAGACATTTTTGAATAATTTCATATAAAGTGAAGATATGATCAGTCGTGGAGTAGTTTTTTCTAAACCCTGCTTGTGTTTCTGGAATTTTATCGCGCATATTTGCCCATTGGGATATCCTATTGTTCAATATTGTTGAAAATATCTTCCCTAATAAACTCATTAGAGATATTCCCCTGTAATTATCTGGATTACTAGAGTCTCCCTTTTTATGCAGTGGAATAATGATAGAACGTGACCAGCTAGCGGGAAAAGTACCGCTGTTAAAAAGGTAATTGAAGCATTTTATAAGAAAAGGCATAGTTTTATTTTGCGAACATTTTACCATTTCTATAATAACATTATCAGGCCCACCTGCTTTCCCCCCTCTTTAAATGTCTTATAGCTTCCCTTATTTCCGTTTCTGTTATTGGAGAATCTAAAACCTGTTCATCAACGCTATCATCGTAATCGGAGTATATGGTATCATCTTCAATTGTAGTGGCATTGTTGTTGAATATATCAGTATTTGCAAATATATTTTTGAAGTGTCCGAGCCATTCAGATTTAGAAATAGGAGAAGTTATCTTTTCCCGATTCTGTAGCGATCGTGTTTGTTTCCAAAATTTTGAAGGAGATTTTGAAGATTTACAAAGATTATCTAGTCGTACTTTAGCGAGGTCAGATTTATATTTTCTACAACAAGTCTTATATGCATTCCTCTGTCTACAATAAATTGCGCGGTGATAATCAGTGTGCTTAGTTCTAAACTGCCTTAGGGCTCTGCGCGCTGCTCGTTTTGCATTTATGCATTGTGGATTTGTTGACTGACGTTTCCTGTTAGTTCTATTTAAATAAAACCTTTTTTTCATACAATCCGCGGAGTTTATTATAATCTTTACAAAGTCATCAATAGCATGATTCACGTTCACTTCGATTGTCTCGCTTAAACTCTCACCATAGGCCAACAACCGTTCCTGTAAATTATGAACATATATTTCAGAAAGAGAATCATTCCAAATGATCTTTTCATCAAACAGATTACCTGTGTCACTCACTATCGAGTCAGCAAATTTACATGTTAACTCCAATGGAAAATGGTCAGAATTCAACATGTCTCCTACATTGAACTTATCAA